AAATCTCACAACTATTTCCACCCAGATGAAAGTGGAATCTGTACAGTATCCTGGACTGCTGGGTAACTGAGCACTACAGACAGGGATCTTGGTCGCTCTCCACTGAAATTGAAAAGTCCAAAAAAGCCACACACACAAGGAAGTCCAGGAAGCTCTGGAAAGATATGTGCCTCCCAAAAAACCTGGGAGAATCCATTTGGGGGCAAGAGGGAAGAGGCAGTTAGGGTCAGCCTAGCAAGGACCAGCAGCACACAATTCCCACATGGCAATCTGAGGTTGTGACAGTGGCACAAGTCTTTCACATCACCTGTCATCATTCAGCATTTCAGTGGAAAACCGCTGGTTCAACCTATCACTCAAGCTCATCCAAAAATCAATCCCTAGCCCTTGGGACTGATATAAAATGATCAGTATCTGCTACTGGAAACTCTCATCAAAATTACTGAATGCTAATCCCCACCCTTAAGGAACATACTTCACAGAAGATTAAGCTTTCTGAAGTCAAAATGCACAGTCTAGTTCAAAAAAAGAGAAGCCCGTGTGAATTCAGCACACACATCCAGCACTCCTGTGACCTGTAACTACACGAGATTAAACTGAAACCTCTCGGTAACCACTTCTCCACCCCAAAGGAGGGAGGGCAGGAATGCTGCCTGTCAGGTCCCGAAGGAAGAGTATCTACCAAGGACTGCAGGAAGGGGCTTCTGAGCCAGTTTGCTGGAATGCTCAAGAAACCAGCACACAAAATATTTCAGAATCTGCCATGGAAACCCTCTATGAATCGAGCCCTTCTCAGAAAGTACAGCAGGAAAGACACACCATACCCTTACTTGGGGTTGCAGTGACGGCAAAAGCACTGTGGTGAGACCACAAGGTGAGAAAAGAGAAGTCATGAGCGGAAACCTCCACTCAGATACATTTTTACAGGTCAGATGAGGCTGCCAGCCTGGTTTTCTAAAGAAAAACCCTAAACAAAGCTGAACACAGCGGGGCTGGGACAAATTTTATTGCTGTTTCCAAACCTCATCCTCCTGCATGTCAAAGTCAGACAGGACTTTGAATCCCACCAAGAATCATTCTCCAGGCCTAGAGGATTCCTGCAGCACAGTTAAACAGGGGGGACAACTCAACCCTGAAAAAGTAAGTATCTGTTATAGCCAAGAGCACCACTACAAAGGGAGAGTTCTGCTGATGCAGTGGCTTCTGGCCTCCAAGGATGGTCCAACACCCTTCCCTAGCAAAGCCTTGCATAATGAATAAAGGGTCAAGCTGAAAAACCATCAACTTTATGCCAGATCAGCAGAATCCACTGGTCAATCCCTTAGCTCACCACCACAGCTGGCCCCTGGGAGGAGGCAAGAATGCACAGCTGAAAGCAGAGAAAGGCCCTTTTAAGAGCATCAAACCATGATGGTGGCTGAGGTGACCACTTGCTCTGATCTAACCCACCACAGGGACCACGCACACCTCCTCCTCTAGGGTGGGCCTCACTTCTTTTCCCCCTGCAGTGCTGGGCTGTTGACAAACTCCTCCTGGTTGGGGATTCACAAGCTTCTTCCATGAAAAATCCAGGTTACTAAACTGCAGAAAGTTAACCCAGGGACAAAACAGGTCAGCTGAGCAAAATGACTGCAGGCACCACAATGGCATGTCTGGGGTCTGACCTCTCTGTTCCAAGAGCAGTGAGGCTTACCCAGCTCAGCCTTCCCACACAACCCTCTGCTACCTCACCCTAGGACAAGCATGGTGCCACTGGCACAGGCATAGCTGACAGTGCCACAGCCAGGGGCCACATAGCTAAACCTCAGTTTGTGTCGAGGTTTGGCACCCATTGTGGGCACTCCACAGACATAGGAGCGGGCCACAGTAAGGAGACGAGGGAGCACTTGGTAGCCCTGCAGCCCCTTCTGCCACCACATTATCCAGGGACAGGACCCCAGATGTAGAAGAACCCTGCAAGGCTGCACTGCTGCCATGGGCAGATTCCAGGAAATCTCCTAGGGTGCCTCAAGGCTCCAAAAAACTAGCACTGAGGTGACCTTGAGCAGGATGTGGCAAAACAAGAGGCCCCTGCTGCCTACTGAACTGCAATCAAAGCCATGCCACTCACCTTGCCCCATGTCCTCCTCCTCACTCACCCAGAACAGCTCACAAATCAGGCACAAGAGCCAGGGAGCTTTCTGCTGGTCGCCAGGTGACCAGCTCAGGCATTGCACAGGGACAGGGCCTGCCTGGCTAGGGGACTTGGATCATCTCCTTCAGACACTGCTGCATCAGCAGATCAGTTCAGATGCTCATGAAAAATCAACTGACAAAAATACTGGTAACAGCAAATATATACAACCATCTTTCTTGCTAGCAAGATAAAATTTTATCCCAGAAAAGCTGAACCAGAGACAATTTCAGTCAACAGATAAGCACAGAGATATACACAGACAGAAGGCAGCACCAGACTAGGATGTGCACCTAAGTAGTGTTCACATAGGTTAACATATTAACTTTCCATCCAGCAGCACCTTAGTAGTTTGGTCAAATTCAATCTCACAGAACAAACCCTAAAAGCACAGGTTCTTCAGGTTGATATTTTATTTTTCACAGCTTAAACACGGTCACAGTCCTTTGCAAATTGGGTTTAAGGTACAGAGCTCTCCAGACTGCGCAAACATTCTAAGAACAAACATTTCCAGCATACCAAGAGCTCAGATACACTAGGTCAATCCAACTGTGTTTATTTGTATTTCACCCAAATCACCGCCAAAGTAGTCAGAGCTCAAGGAGCAACAGCCTCCCACTGATCCAGCAAGAGACCAGAAGTAATTGGTAGACAGTCTGCAAGCACCACAAAGAATGCCAGAGGCATTTATTTACATGACCCCTGTTTGCCTAAGAAGAATTCAGCGTTTGCATTTTCCTCACTCAAATGAATCATCACTAGACTTAACTCCTCAGTACTATTCCTCAGCTAACAGGAGTAAAGGCACAAACCACCCAAAATCATCCCCAAAAAACTTTTCAGATAGCTGCTACTCACAGAACGAGGCAGACCTTTACTCCATCAGCTGGAGTTCCTCCCCAGGCTGGCACAGCACCCTTGGAGATACCTCTCCAGGCCAATTTGTCTCATTATCTGTCCAAGGAACGTGGAAAAGGCAAGAAGACACGATTCCTACTGGTGAGCAATACCACTCCTGCCAAGGCAGAACCATCACACCTTCTCTGCTAGCCTGACAACACACTGCACCCCACACCTGAGCTGCAGACACTAAAGCATGAGAACTTCCCCAGGATCTAGCTGCTGCAACCACACAGTTCTCTCCCCGCTCAGTGCCCAGCAGGACCACTGTTCCTTAGCGCAGAGCCCCAAAGCACCTCTCAGGCCTGTCTGCTGGCATGCTCACACAGGCCAGGATGCAGCAGGGCTCCCTCTGACGCTACCCCCTCACTGCCAGAGCATGGCTCTGCCCAGGAGAGGCAGGCCAGAATTCCTCCAGAGCAGCCGCCCATGGAAGACAAGTCACGGCCAGAGCGCTGGGCCAGCTCTGACCAGGAGCTTCATGACTGAAGCTGGCAAAGGGTCCCACTCCACCTGTCACACATCCTCCTCTGCTTCTGAGAGCGGCCGAGCTCAGCACTCCGGGCACTGGGAGAGGACGAGAACAGAGTGGGTAAGTTACCAACCAGCACCAGTGTTTCTAAAAGCAGGCAAGTGCTTGGGGTTAACAAATCCCATATAAACAAAACTTACCGGTATACAGTGAGAGCAGAACACCTTTACTGCTATCAGCCCCATAATTCTTACTGATTCCCCAGGTCTGATGCCAACAATTAAGCAAAATTTACTACTCTATGTACACAATGCTTAAAGAAATGGGTATGTCTAAGCCAGCAGGTGCTGTCAGCAACGTCACCCAGTTATTTGAGCATTTGTACCAGCTCCCAAAGAAGTGAGCCTGAACTCCTGCAGCAAGGAGTCAGTGCGACCTGGAATCAACCAGGCTTTGCTGATTACTCCTCTGAGTAAACAGTGGTATTCCCAGCACTTCAGCCTGCTCTCAAGCTCCTTCTGTTGGCATACTACCCTATATTTAGGAGAGAAGAGTGCAATGACAAGCATTGGGAAGAATGAATAAGTGGTTTAGGATACTTGGTATAGCAGCAGAGACTGTGTGAAGAAACCTAAGAATTAGAAACTCCTAAAGTGAGGAAAGGAATCTGTAAAGCTAAAGATGGGACGAGACAGCATTCAATTTGGCAAGTTAAATAGCAAGTTTTGTTAAGAACAGTACTCACAAGGCAATAGGCATTAGTAGTCAACCACTAACAAGTAACAGAAATGGGTGGTAGAAAGAAGCTCCTGCCTGGAAGGGCTAAGAGAAAATAGGCACATTCTTGGGTTTTTTAACACAAAAAGATTTTAATCTCAGTTTGGACAGGTGAATGCCAATGGTGTTTTCCGAAGCCTAGGAGTCCAAAGCTCCAGGACCAAGGGAGATATACCTCAGGGAGTGACAGGGATCCCTTACAGCCAGGTCCCACATCCCCCTGCCCACACCTTCCCCCCTGAGCAGCAGGACTTAGTTACACTCCAAAAACACAACTTTGCCAACTTCAAACCTGCGGCAAATCTCAGTAAATCCAGGCCTGTTGACTTGATGGGCATTGAAAACTTGGGTGAGCCACTTTGCAGCCTGTTGCTTCCAAGAAACCAGAGAGGCCACAGGTAATATGTGGCATTTACACCTTTTTGGGCGGTAGAACCACTAAGCTGCCTTTAGCCACCTGCACTGGGGAGCGGAGATAAAGCCTGGCTGTAGGTCTGTCCCTCCCGGAACAGCCTCTGCTGTTAGTCACGCTCGCAGCGCCCGGAGCCAAGGTCAGCCCTGGGAAGCGGCGGGGCCCACGGAGCCCCGCAGGGACAGCCCCGAGGGCCGCCCGGCCTCCCTGCCGGGACAGCCGCCTGTCCTGAGGAACACAACCTCCGCCAGCGACCGGGCACCCACCTGTGCTCCCACGGCGCCGGGCCGGTCCCTATGAGCGGGGAGAGCCCGGGACGCCCACACGGGGCTTGTCACAACCGGAGCCGGCTGCCGCCACCGACAGCACCTGGGCCGCTCCCGGCGAAACCCCAGGACTCACTCGGTACAGCCCGGGCCGACCCCGCCGCCCGAAGCCCCGGGCCCGCTCCGCCTCCCGCCCGGCCCCGCCGAGCGCTCCCGGGCGCGGCGCCCACCCAGGGCCGAGGGCGGCGGCGGGAAAGCGGCGCGGAGGGAGCGCGGCCCGGCGGGAAGGCGGCACGGGGCCGGTCCCGCAGGCCGCGGAAGGCGCGCCGAGCTGAGGCGGCGCCGCGCCGGGAAAGCCACCCCGCCGCTCGCTCTCCGCCAGGCCCGGGCCCGCCGCGCCTCTGCTCAGGCCGCGCCGCCGCCGCCGCCAGCCCCGCTCCCCGCCGCCAAGGGCAGGCGGCCCGGCAGGTGCCGCCGCAACCGCGCTCCGGCCGGCCGCGGTCCCTCCGTTCCCGCTCTCACCGTGCACGCCGGGCCCGGCCCCGCTCCCGCCGGCTCCGCGGCCCCGACGCACCGAGCGGGCGGCGCGGCGCGAGCGCGACCCCGCGCGGGCACGTACCGGGGGGCGGGGCTGGCGCGCGCGCGCGGCGCCTGGCAACCGGCGGCACGAGCGCGCCGCGGCCAATCGGCGCCCGGCTTCAGAGCCGGCCACGCCCCTCCCGCCCCGCCCCGCCGAGCCGCCCCGCGCGGCCCCGCCCCGCCCCAGAGCCCCGCCCCGGAGCCCCGCCCGCTCCCGGGGGCCGGCCCGCAGCCCCGCCCCTCTGGCCCCGCCCCCGGGCCCCGCCCCGCTCCCGGGCCCGCCTCACTGGCGCAGGACCCGTCCCCGCTGCTCCGGCCCGCCCCTGTGCGCCGGCCCCACCCACGGCCCCCGCGTGTCCCCCGCGGGGTGACCCCGGCCCCGCCAGCACCCGCCCCGCCGCTCCCGCCGCGCCCCGCCCCGCACGTGTCCGCCCCGGGGTGACCCCGCGCCCGCCCGGCCCGCCCCGCCGCACCGGGCCCCGCCCCTCCGCCTCCGGCCCGCCCCCGAGCCCGGCCCCGCCCCGTCCCACGCGTGCCCGCGGGTGACTCCGGCCCCGCCTGGCCCCGCGCCCGACCGCAGATATTTGCTCGGGGCCGTCCCGGAGCTCCAGCGGCCCGGGGACGCGGGGCCGCCGCCATGCAGCCCGTGCTGGGGGTCCTGCTCGCCCTGGCCGCGGCTCTGGGCTCAGGTAGGGCCCCAGGCTGGGTCGCCGTGGGGCTGGAGGGTGCGGGGCCTAAGGCAGGGCCGGAGGCCGGGCCGGGAGCCTGCAGGCCATGCCCTGTCCCGCGGCGGAGGGGGGCAGCGGATGATGCACGGCAGGGACCCTCCCGCTCCAGGGCACATGGATCAGGACATAGGACAGGGATCCCGTGCTCCATATTACATGGATCCCATGCTCCATAGGACAGAGTTCCCCTCCTCCATGGGACACGGATCCCATGCTGTGTGGGACAGGGCTATCCTCCTCCATGAGGCAGGGATCCGACACTCCACCGGGCCCCAGTGCTTATGCTGTGTCCCCTTGGGCACGCTGAGCTCCTCCCACACTCCCCAGGCCACCGCTCACCCCTCAATGACTTCCAGCGCCTGCGAGCCACCGAGCTGCTGGCAGTGCCTGTGGACTCGCCACCACCGCTGCCGGAGCAGGGCTCTGCGGAGCAGTGTGCCCAGCGCTGTGCCACCAGCCTGGCTTGCCGGTGAGCAGGACACGGTGCCACCGCGGGGCAGCTGGGAGTGCACGGGCCACAACACTGGGTCACTGCACTGGGACACTGGGTGCTCACATGTGTGACGCAGGTCCCGTGGGCCCTGGCTTCACATGGTGCCGTGCCAGACTCCCACTGTGCCTCCCAGGGCTTTCCACCATGACCAGCAGAGCCAGTTGTGCCAGCTGCTGCCCTGGACCCAGCATTCACCCCGCGTCCAGCTGCAGAAAAACATCCGCTATGACCTGTACCAGAAGAAAGGTGGGCTGGTGCTATGGGTGGGCATGGGGACACCACAGACTGGGCAGAGGCCACTTGGCAAAGGACTCCTCCTTGCCCATGTGCCCTGACCTGGCCCTGGGGCTCTGAAGAGGTGCCTGGCTCTGCTCAGACTACCTGCGGGACTGTATCGTGGGTGATGGCTCCAGCTACCGCGGCACACGGGCCACAACAGAGAAGGGGCTGCGCTGCCAGCATTGGCAAGCCACAACACCACATGACCACAGGTGCCCCCGTGTCCCTGGCTGTCCTGTGGCACCTACCCTGGGCAGCGTGGGACAATGGGGAATGGGGTGGGAGCAGTGTGGGATAGCACAGGAGCGATGGGGACAGTCTGGGGGCAATGGCACTGACAGGGGTAGTGCGTCATCCTTGCTATGCCCACTCCAGGGCAAAGCATTCCTGTCAGCCCTCCTACCCACTCTGCTGCCAGCAGGTTTCTGCCATCACGTCGCAATGGGCTGGAGGAGAATTACTGCCGAAACCCTGACCAGGACAAGCGGGGCCCATGGTGTTACACCGTTGATCCCAATGTCCGGCACCAGAGCTGCAGCATAAAGAAGTGTGAGGATGGTGAGTGCCACATCCCAGGATCACCCTGTGCTCTATGCTTCTCCCACACTGAGCCCTGCAGTTGTTGGCAGCTGTCTGCATGACCTGCAATGGGGAGGACTACCGTGGCACTGTGGACCACACAGAATCAGGGACAGAGTGCCAGCGCTGGGACCTGCAGCACCCACACAAGCACCCCTACCACCCCAACAAGTACTAGCCCCCAGCCCCCAGCAGTGCATTGCCCTCACCGAGTGCCAGGTGCTGGGGTGATGGTGCCACCTCAGCTGCTGCTCCCTGTCTCTGGCCCAGGTACCCTGACAAGGGGCTAGATGACAACTACTGCCGCAACCCGGACAGCTCCGAGCGGCCCTGGTGCTACACCACTGACCCCGAGCGGGAACGTGAATACTGCCGCATCCGCATCTGCAGTAAGTCCCCACTAGCATCATGCACAGCTGGGCCTGAAGGTCCTGGGTGCCACCCCGACCCTGCTACTCTGCTCCTCTCTCTGGCCACACAAGCAGAAAAACGCCCACGGCCTGTCAACGTCACCAACGGCTGCTTCAGGGGCAAGGGTGAAAGCTACCGTGGCCACGTGAATGTTACTGTGTCGGGGATCCCCTGCCAGCGCTGGGACTCCCAGGTGCCCCATAAGCACCACTTCGTGCCCGAGAAGTACCCGTGCAAGTAAGGGGATGGCTGTGCACTCCAGGAGGGTGGTGTTGGGCAGCACCCATGAGTGTGGGATTGAGGGGGGACAACCGTGTGGCCCCTCCTCCAGGGACCTGAAGGAGAACTACTGCCGCAACCCCGATGGATCAGAAGCACCGTGGTGCTTCACTTCCCGCCCCACTGTCCGCATCGCCTTCTGCTTCCACATCCGCCGCTGCCCTGATGAGCAGGATGCCCAAGGTGAGCCACCCCAGGCACCTGTCCCTGGGTGCCCACCCCAGTGTCCCTGTGAGGGGTGCCAGCCCTCCCTGCCTGTCTCCAGAGTGCTACCATGGCCATGGCAAGCACTACCATGGCCACGTCAGCAAGACACGCAAGGGAATCACCTGCCAGCCCTGGGCTGCCCAGACACCCCACGTGCCCCAGTGAGTGTGTGAGGGTGGTGGGTAGAGGGATGGGGATGAAGACGGGGATGGTAACAGTGATGCTGACTGCCTCCTGGCAGGATCTCACCTGCCACCCACCCTGAGGCACACCTGGAGGAGAACTACTGCCGCAACCCCGATGACGACAGCCATGGCCCCTGGTGCTACACAATGGACCCCCGTACCCCCTTTGACTATTGTGCCATCAAGCCCTGCTGTGAGCCCCTACCCACATCCCTGCAGAGCTAGAGGGGACCTTGGCCACACACAGGGTAGTTTTGGTCCCCTCAGGGTGGCTGGATCCCTTGCCAGTGCCACCCTCTGTTTTCTCTCTGCAGCTGGCAGCACGGTGCCCTCCATCATGGAGAATACAGGTCCTGCGGGTCCTGGGTGGGCACACTGGGGTAGGTGCTGGTGGTACAGCCCCAGCTGATGCCCACCCTGCCCACAGATGTGGTGACATTTGAGCAGTGTGGCCAGCGGGAGGAGAGGCTGCAGCAGAAGGGGCGCATCGTTGGCGGCCAGCCTGGCAACTCGCCCTGGACTGTCAGCATCCGCAACCGGTGAGCGGGTGTCCCACATGCACTTCCATGTGCTCAGTGTCCTCCCCGAGCTCACCCCCTGTCCCCACAGGGCTGGTGTGCACTTCTGTGGGGGATCCCTGGTGAAGGAGCAGTGGGTGATCAGCACACGCCAGTGCTTCTTCTCCTGGTAAGGCTGGGGCTGGGCTGTGGGGTGGTGGGACCCCCCTGTGCCCTCATGTCCCTGTTCCACAGCGATGCCGACCTGACGGGCTATGAAGTGCAGCTGGGGACACTCTTCAAGGACCCTGGCCCTGGGGACCCTGACCAACAGACCATCCCCATTGTGCGGATTGTCTGCGGCCCCTCTGAGTCCCAGCTGGTGATGCTGAAGCTGGCAAGGTGAGTGGCTGTGCCTTGGTCTCTGCCATGCTCCACTGCTGGTCAGGCTGGCACCGTGTCCCACTGCCCCTCTTGCCACAGGCCAGCTGCTCTGACCAGGCGTGTGGCCCTGATCTGCCTGCCCCCTGAGCGCTATGTCGTGCCTGCGGGCACTATCTGCGAGATCGCCGGCTGGGGGGAAACCAGAGGTACCTGCCACAGGCAGCCCCTGCTGGGGGATTCCCTGTTCAATACAGCTCCTGCCAAAGCCATTCTCTCCCCTCTGCCCACAACATCCCCATGTCCATAGCATCTCCCTGCCCACAGCAACTCCCAGGTCCCTGCCATACCCCTGCTCTCAGCATCTCCCTTCCTTGGTATTTTCCTGCCCATTCCATCCCCCTGCCTACAGCATCCCATGTCCCTGATATCACCCTGTCCATGGCATCTCTTTTCCACAACATCTCCCTTCCACATCCCCCTGA